GGAAGTGGAGGAATGCAATCTGCTGCGGCACGTTGTCACGAGATGGTTGTCTCTGCTGCCATCTATTGACAGAATTCTGAAGTGTTGGAGACCCCTGACCAGCTACTTTCAGAGTCTAGGTGAGGAGGAATGCTCCAAGATGTTGTGGAAATGCTTTGGAGAGGATGGTAACGAATTATCTGAGATGTATTTTCTCTTCCTCAGTCACATTCTGAAAGTGTTTTCAGACTGCATTGAAGCACTTGAGGCCAAATCATTCAGCATAACCTCTGTGTTTAAGGTAATGACTGAACTGAAAGGGAAACTTGAGAGAAGGTTTAATGACATGTGTTGGCTTTGCTGTGAACAACAAACTCAAGCAGCTAACCCCTGATCTCGCAAAGAAATGTGAGGCTGATTTTGTTGTTTTCTATGAAAGAGCCAAGAAATACGTGAGTGAAAGGTATGACTTCTCTGAGAACAGCTTTCATAGTAAAGTGTCAAAGCTTGGCCTCACAACTGCTGTGTCCTATGGAGAATACAGTGATGCAGTCCAAGCCTGCAGCCTGAAAAACATTGACATGGATGGACTCTATGAGGAATATGGCATGGTGGAAGCTATTCTCAGCTCTTCAGCAATGGAAGGATGCCACAGTGAGGAGCGGTATCTCAAACTGTTTTCCAAAGCAGAAGTCCCACTTGTGAATCTGAGGAAGGTCAGCGCCTATATCTTCTCCATCCCATGTAGCAATGCCCATACAGAACGTGTCTTCTCAATGATCACCTCAGCATGGAGAAATGAGAGAAATCGTCTGGATGTGGACAGTGTCAAGGCAGAGCTGCAAATTTGTGTCAACTTCACATTTGAGTGCACAGACATACAGAGACTCCTTACAAACAAAACACTCTTGGAAGCAGCCAGGAAAGGGCAAAAGTATCGAAAATAGACATTCAACTTGTGGTTAGTACACTAGTCTCATTGTGTTTTGAGTGTGAAGGATTCTGTGAAGCCAGGATAAAAACTAAAAGATAATCCCAAAGTGTCCTCCTTTTTGGTGTTATGGAAATGGCCACCCTACCCGTGAGGCCCGTCAAAATTGTCTTTTTCAGCCCCACTCTGTGCATACAGCACAACATCCGCTCTTCCCAGAGCTCGTATTCTTCTGCCCTTCCGTCAAATGTGGGCCACTTGCTTCTGCCTCTGGTTGCCATCTTTTGATTGTAGCTTAGCTTAGCTGCCCGTTAGCTTAGCTTTAGCGTCCCACGGTTTTCCCGCCGCTAAACTAGCCTAAACTTTTCAGCTAACTAGCTATCGTTATTTCGCTCTTCCGTGATCGGGCCCATAACCTGTTGACAGAGTCACATGTATAGCAATAAACTGGTCATGGCGACAAGGTCTTCTTTAGCCTTAACTGGCGTGGTTTATTTTCATATGTGCATTGCACCACTTGACCTGCTCTCCATGAGAGCTAGAGAGAGAGAGAGATAGAAGGGGAGGGAACAATCCCTTATACCTGATACCTGACGTCAGCTACAATAGCTGCGCCTCCTTACGCCTATAGCGCCCTCTTACTGTGGAACAGTTATAGTGCAGTTACATGCAGACATATTAATACTTACACTTAACAATAACATATATTTCAATGTTGATGAACTTCATACTGTTCATTCATAATCTGATTGTCTTTGTAGCTCACTGTTGAAATAAAAAAAAAACATTACAATTACAAAATAATTATATCTACAGCCCCATAACACACAAACACACCGCTTTCATAAATAACACACTTGTTCTGCAATAATATGTTTTATGTTTCCTGTCATTTTTGTTAGGAAAGGACGTGCCTGAAAGACACGACATTTTTTCCTTCTGAGGGTCAAGAAGAACATCCAAGAGGAACATTAAAAGCTGATGTTATGAGATTTTAAGACCAGTACAGGACATTCACTAAGAAACTACTTTTATTGTGAAAACAGTCAGCTGATCGAATGCAGCTATTTCCACATCTACACTCCATCAGCTGATTATTTCTATTCGCCTCACTTTATGAGCTTCACATCACCTGTGCCTTGAACCGCAGAGTTTGCAACGTCACAAATAAATGGGGCCAATCTTCAGTCAGATGTGAATGTGTAATCTAACATTTTCAGTAAGAATAATGGACAAAATGAGTGCAAATACAAATACAATTTATTGAAATGTGAACCAAAAGTTAATCAAACATGTTTAAAATAAAAAGCACATATGGACAGAAGGTGTAAACCTATTAAATGTATAAGTAAACACATTTAGTCAAATAAAGTGACAGACTAGGCATGTGCAGTTGGTATCAGCTCCTCCATCAGGCCTGAAGTCTACAGTCTATGGGTTTAACGAAGGCCAACCAGAGCAACAGGTGTTGGTAGAGATCAGAGCCCTAGAGAGATAAGAGTTACGACACTCTTTGATGTCGCCGCCAGCCGGTCACGTGGTTTATGTATGCCGGGATAGTTCAAAACGCACTTCCGTTGCAATGCTTCTCTATGGCAAAAACAGCACAAACATGGTCAAAATAGTCATAGATTAAACCAACGCTGTTATTTTTTAAAGATTGCTTTCATATTTACATGATGTGGTTACACTTTGTATGGATTGGCACTATTTATAAGTTTCGTTATTTAACGATATTTTGAGGGGAAAGTGTGGCAGCACAAGCAGGCTATGTTGCTGTCACTGCCAGGGCAGTCACGTCCGTAGTATAGTTGCGCTGCGCTGTCATGTTCTTCTATGGGACAGACAGACAGCAGCGATTGCGTTATTGAATGGTAAATATATATAAAAAAACACACACCCCCAAGTACTTTTTCAGCTGTAATTGCATTATTTTATACTTTTTATTGACAGTTTTGCATTTGGAGAGGCAGGGTGACAACGGAAAGCTTGGTAGCCTATTACTTAGATACGTTTTACATTTTTGGAGGGAAACGCTTGTGTTCATGTTGGCATGGGTAGCATGATCATGTTAAGACTATGAATATCATTTTACCACAACAGTGGATGAACAATTGATATATGTGTTTGAACAAGAACAACAGGAAGAACAAAGTAAAAGGGACGAACACATGTGTGAACAAGTATTAAGAACAGTGTATGGAAAAAGTGATGTGAACAAAACAAAGTAAAATGAATGAGAAGGAGAACATAGAGGGTTAGGGTTCAACAGAAAAAGATTAATTCAGCCAAAAAACACAATTTTGATTAATCTAAAGTGTAAAACAATCTTCAACACAGACCAAATGAGTGCCTTTGGACAACAAAACATAAGGTGGGGCAAAGAAACGATAAATTAAATTGAGAGTGGGAGACTGAAAATGATTACTATGATAAATATTCAAACTATTTACAAAACTATTTACAGAAGCTCCTGTTGAACCATGTTCAGAGCAACAAAAATAGGTTTGTCAACAATACAAATTAAAATGACGAGGCCACTTTGCCAGGGGGAGGTGATCCAGCGACGAGACAATAACAAAAAAGAGAAACTGAAAAAAGCAATTCATATTTGGTTCTGTTGAGGCACTACAGAATATAAAACCTTCCAAGCCATGAGCTCTGCTCAGAGGAGAATGCAGCACATCAAACTGGAGTCAGGAGTGTGAATAACACATTTTGGCCAAAACTAATTGTTGCTTACCAAACAGTGGCTGAACAATGGACACCAACAAGTGAAAAACAGAAGCATAATTGTGCGAGGGTGCAACAATTTGGGGGGGGGGGGCATTTAACAAATATTTACAAACAACTATTTACAAAAAAGCAACTATTTACAAAAAATGCAACTATTTACAAAAAAGCAATACTATTTACAAAAAAGCAATACAGAACTCTCGGGCATCCTAACCATTTTGAAAAAAACAAAAATGTTCCTTTGTGAAAGGGACATCCTCTTCATCTGTTTCCTGGGCCCTAAAAAGCAGAGCAAGAATAGGAACAGTGGTGAATAAGGGGAGAGAATACAGTTGGGAGCAGACTGAACAGAGGACATAGCAATATTCATGTTAAAATGTTTGCACAACAAATATTATGGCACTTTCGTTTATATTGCATTTTAATAGATCAGTTGTCATACCATGGTTGAATGTGCAGCATTTGGATGCTCTAATCCAGAGGTGCCCAGTACGTCGACCGCGGTCGACCGGCAAAGCTGGTAGATCCCGAGTCATTCATTAAAAAAAAAAATCCAGCTCCGTTAAAATAGACAAACACAGGTTTTGATCCCTCCTCCCTTGGCCTTCCTGCCACTTAATTCAGGAGTTTACTTGATTGACAGAAAAAGCGACCTATCGCTTTCCAGTCTGTTAACCCAGAATGCAAAGCGATACAAAATCAGTCAAGTGCCTGTGTCAGTACCAGATATGTTCGGCCTACCAAATATGTTCGGGTGTATTTCCGTCGCATCCGTCATCCGTCATATCCGTCATATACTCACCTCCCTCTGCTCCCAGCGCTATGCTGCCACACACCGGCCGTCTGCGGAACTGCAGCCGGAGGAACTCGGTACAGCTTGTTATGTGTGAACGATCTAGATCCCTCCGCTTCCCCATAATTACCGCGACCATTTTAACTTTCATGACAGAAATGGAGAGCTTTTATGCTGAGATAAAGCAGTACGTGCTCAATGGTGGTTACCACAATCTCACCATCGCCGCTGAAAAGCATGATAAAAGGAAGGCGTTAATTCGGAGGGCATCCAAACAATACCTGATCAAAGGTAAGTAACAGAATAAGACCATGGTTAAGTCACGAACATACGTTTTTATTATGAGGTATAAACCCCCTGTACATGTGACATCATCACATCCCTTTACTTATAGGGATCAATAAAGTATATATCTATCTATCTATTTATCTAATGGTGTTTTTTGGTGCAAAAGTGATCATACCTCTAATGGTTTATCATATTGCAATTCCAACATTTTTCAGTAAATCGCAAGGACTCCACAGCTTGTTTCTCCTTTTTCTTTTTATACACACTTTACATTACTGTAGTTGTTACGTCTAAACCACATTTGCCACTGGATTTCTTGAACAGCTTTTAGTCATAATGTCATCTCTACACATGTCTAAATGATTGTTTTGTTGTTCCTGTTGTGCCAGCTGGAGATTTGTACTACACATACAAGGACAATGAGAGGATGGTTGTGTGCACCAAAGACCAAATTATCAATGTCCTGAAGGAGTGCCATGATAACCTGGGTTCCGGAGGTCATGCAGGGAGAAGGCGCACCACCGAGAAGGTTTTGGCAACGTACCACTGGTCCACTATGCGGGAGGACGTGAAGAAATGGGTGGGAGTTTTTGACTGACTGACTGATTATTGATCTACAGAAATGTGTTGTATGTGTACATTGAAACAGAGTGAGACATGTGTGGATCTCATTGGCCCACTTCCCTCCACTGCTAAGGGCAAAAGGTACTATCATGATGGGCTGAAGCATGTGTAACCTCCTTTAAAGGTTCTAAACGTGAAGAATCTGGTTTAAAAAGAAAGGAAATCATTTACAGTGATTCTGTATGTATTTACAACATTCTGCATTTTATATTGCAGATACATTCTAACAGCGACTGATCTGTTCACGAAGTGGGTGGTAGCAAAAACGCTCTACCACAAAACAGCTGTTGAGGTCTCAAAAAAGATTGTAAATATTCTTCTCGATTTCGGTCTTGTCGAGAAGATCATTACCGACCAAGGACGGGAATTTGTCAATGAGGTACAATAATCTATCTAATACAGTGTATGTGTTATGTGTAACAATGTAATACGATTTTTCAGGTAATTTGGTAATTGGTGTACACTAAACCATCTGCAGGTCAACCGTGGTGTTTTTGATGCACTGGGTGTAAAACACTGCATCACTTCAGCGTACCATCCCCAGTGCAATGGCCAAGATGAGCGTACAAACCAAAACATAAAAAAAGCACTTGCAAAGTACTGTGGAGAGGACCAGAATGACTGGGATTTACATCTGAGGGGCATTGTGGCGAGCATTAACACCTCAAAGCAGGTACAATGTTGTAACAAATGCAGATGGAAACAATACTCAACAGAGATACTAAAAGGAATTTTTATGCTTTCAGAGGTCAACCAAGTGCACGCCCTATTTTGCCCAGTTTGGGAGGCACCCTCGCGTCCCGGGTGTTATAAATGCTACAGTCAATGACAGGGATGATACCTCTGTTTTGGTGCCTGCTGATGAGGCAGAACAGCAGCTTGAGGCAAAGGCTGCAACCATTGCAGATTTGCACTCGAAGGTGAGAATAAAATGGCAATATTTAAAACATAATAACTCCTAAAAAATGCAAGCGTATGTTAAGGACTGTAAATGATAACTGTTACATATCTTTCTCAGATTTACCAGAACATCCAAATAGCACAACAGAGACAGAAAATCTCTTTTGAAAAACGCAAGGGAAAGAATGTGAAATCTTTCCTGATTAACGTTGGAGATGAGGTCCTAAGAGCGAATAAGAGGAAGGAGGGCCGAAAAGGTGGAAAACTGGAGTGCAACTGGTTTGGCCCTTATGTGGTTTCCTCAATCACCAACAAGGGTGTGGCAACCCTGTTGAGCTCAACAGGAGCTCAGCTGAGACAGAGTGTGAATGTGTCTCAGCTGAAGCCCTTTATCAGGCCTATGTTGAGAGGTATTTTGATTATCAATACAAGGACACATTTTAGGTATACTTCATGTGTGGTACTTCAATAATACTGTTTATTTTTTGTCTATCTAATAACAGCTGAACCGAAGTTGGATTCGGAGGGGTCAGTTGCTGACCACCAGTATGCCCTCTCTGGTGCGAAATACGCAAAGGATCTACATCCGATTCAAGACAAGCTGGTAGATATATGTTTACTTCATGCACAGTGATGGAGGTGCATTGTTTTGATTTTAATTTTTCTATGTTTTCTATTGGCTTGAAGTATGTTTTGCAATCTGTTATTTGCAGCTCAGCTATGTGCTAGACCACAATAGGCCTGGAGCAGAGGTCATTGTGAAGGAGGGTGATGTGTGCCTGACCAGAGAGGACTTTTGGAGCCTGGGTCTTCCTCAGTGCATGGAGTCAAATGTAGGTATACTTGAGCTTTCCTCCCAACTTCATCTTGTCTCAAATAAATGGCACAGGTAACTTACTGTTGTTACTGTTTCAGATTGGAAACACGTGCCTGAAGATGGTACAAGAAGCCACCCAAAGACATGTACGGTTTTCAACAGACATCATTGGCCTGCTTTTTTCTTTTGAATAACACATATTTTCTAAATAGCTGTTTAGTGGTGAAACTCCAATCTCGTGAAGTGTGGTTGTCTCTTGTTGTTGAACATACTTCTATGAAGATTTCATTTTTTTTGAAAAACTATCAATATAGGGCAAAGATATATACATCGTGGATATGTATGTGGTTCCTACCTGGAAGTCCAAAACAGCTGACGTGTTGGCCAGTTTTCCAGTAAGTTCCTGTTGCTTGAGACCTATGTTTCTTGAAATTGATATACAGCAACTTAAAATCCCTTGTTTAAAATACTAGGCTGACCAATTGGCCACCAAGGACATGGTTTTCATCCCTGCCTGGAGTCGGCAGCAAGGAAAGGCAGATCACTATTTGCTTTGCGTGAGTCTGTTCCAAATGATCTCACCAGCATGTACAAAATGAACATAAGTTGTGCTGTGTGGTTTTCTTCTGGTGTTTGATTATGTCTAATTTCAGCTATTTTGTCAATGGTTGACAGGTGATCAAGCCAGCAAAGAGAGAGTTATATTTGCTCGACCCTCTTAAGCCAGATGGCTTTGGGGACAATTCCTACAAGGACATATTTAGGTTTTTGTAACATGATTACCCCCTCACCGTTCTGTGGCTTGTATGGGAGTTCTAAATAGTTTATAGTATTCTAATACTGCAGTAACCATCTTGTAGACCAGGGGTCTGAATCTGATCAAATTCATTTATAATATATCTCCATTTCCACAAAGTCTGGAGTGTCCTTAGTGGAACCAAAAGAAAAAGAGTCTGCAACAGGATGCTATGAATTATAATATTCATTTTGTTATAAGCCTTGTTCAAAGGTTGTTTTCAAGTTCAGCTTTGTTCAGCGGCTGGTAAACGTATTTTTGTTTGTTTTATTTTAGCCCCGTTCAGTGGCTTTCATAACTTTCCTCTTTTAAGGCATGCAATAGTTCAATGTAAGGAAATCCAAAAACATGAATTATATTGTGTATAGCGTTCCTTCACCAAATCAATTCCCATGTCTTATCATTTCTTTTGACAGTGACCTAGCGCACCGCATTGCTCCAGGTCAGTGGACAGTAAAGTTCGGCAGAGACATCAAGGTACATTTCTCCACCATCTCATACACCTGCTTTCACATGTCTTTATTTTCCATTTGACCATGAACATCACTGTTATATTCCAAATTCTTACAGGGTTAGCCTCACCAAACCACGGGCAATGACTGTGGTGTCTTCATACTGATGGTAAATTCCTCCCTTGACACTTTTTTTTAAGGGGTTTTGTTAGTTTTTGAAACTCATAACTTAACAGATCTTTATCCTTTCACAGTATGCACTCAACTTCAGCACAGATGCTCTACTTTGGTTTACCGAGGTCAGTATTTATCCTCTGAGTTAGTATTTCAGGGGGAAGAGGGGGCTAACATTGAGTAGACAAATGATGAGGTTCCATTCATTTTCAACTTTATTATTGTTACATTTTCTTTTAGCGGGACATAGCACAGATCCGGAAATGGTGGTGCATTATGCTCATGGAACGGTACCAGATTGAAGGGTAAATCATACATTTTAAATGTTACTTTATAGACAACAGTTTCTTTGACACTGATTTACATTTTCATCCTGATATTATGTGATTTTTATAGCCACGGACAGATCCAGATTATTTAACACATGCATACATATTGATAATTGTATACACATGTAATTAAACAATCACATGACCCACACCTTATATTTTCCTTCAAAGGTCCAGTTTCAAAAGTCCGACATGTGCTTCATATTGGAGGTAATATCTTTTCAGTGAAGCAGTAACTGTTTTTTGTTTAAAAAACGACCTATGATCACGGCAGAATTTCCAACTATTATGTCTCACTGCTTTTTTTAACTTTATTGATAGCTGTTTTTTACCTCAAGGAGAAGAATAACAAAACATAAGAAAAATGTGTGTGATATATTCAACATTAATATTAAAAATGTGTCTTTTTGCTACCTGAAGCCCAAAGAATCTTGGTATTTCGATTGTGCTGGCAACAGTCTAGTCAATGTGTTGTTAAATATGTTTGATCTAGTCTGACCAATACTTCACAGCTGCCAAACTGTCTTCTCTCGGACCTTCTGATGGAAGTGGTTCTCCAGGAAGGTGACAAAGCGTACTCATCACTCACTCTAGTGTGTACCACCTTCAGAGACACAATGTCCACTGTGTCTTTCAGAAGAGGGGCCCACTTTCGCTGGCTTGAGAGTAAGTGATTCAGTGAAGGTGCAGCAGTATACGACAGCTGTGGTGTCTATGCATATTTTTAATGGCTCTATTGAAATGCTTGTTTTACACAGGTGTTGCTACATGGAGTTTGTTCTCTGCTTCATACAAGCAGGATTTCAACGTCATGTACACCATTGACACCTGCCGTGGATGCTTGGAGCCTTACAAAAACTGCAAACCAGGTAGACTTCTTATTCTGGATAATAATGTTTATGTGTCATTACATATTTAGTGTGTTGTGGTCCTAGTGTGATTCAATTACAATATTTTCTTTTTCTATTCATAGGATATGTTGGGAAAGGTAAAAGAGGAGAATTGCAGGGCATCTACTCTGATGACCAACATCCAGGCTATTGCAGTCCCTTCTGCAACCAGATATCATAGGTAAAGATTAACTCACACAAACAAATGTCAGAATAGACTAAATTGTCACTGCAATTAATGAAGATCATCATTTGATATCTTACCTTCAAGTTTGGTTTTCCCGGACGCTGCCCGTCGTGGACTTCGGGTCGTGGACTTCGGGTCGTGGCTGAACCTGTCTCTGCAGTCCTGCCTTGGGTCATGCTGCTTCCCTGATGGCTTCCTCATATATTCTGAACAATCTGTGCTGTTTTCCTATCCACATGTAAAAGGAACTAGAAGGATTTCTTGATACTAAGGGCTGTAGAGAAAAGTTTGGAGCTTTTTCCATTAACGTTGAAGTTCAAATTCTCAATAAACACTTGAATGCTGTGCTGTCTTTCTATTTACTTGAATGTGTGAATTCATTCAGTTGGGTAGGTAAGCTTGGGATGGATATATGAAATATATACATACAAAAAATTAGAGACTCTTTCCAATGAAAGTAGCTAGCCGCAATAGCTCCAAGATTGCTATATCTAGTTTGTAGGTCGCCAAGTTGGCATCATTGACAGTTCGTCTCTTAAAGCCTCTAAAGCTCTGCAACAAAAAAGGATCATTATGAATGTAAATACTATACATGGTAATGCAGCAGGGCATAGTGCGATGAGGCAGGCAGGCAGAACCAGATTTATTTCTAAATATTTGTCGATCAATATTAGGCTACACTAATATAAGGCTACTAGTATTATGATATTACTGCAATAATATTCCAGTGGTGGCTGCTTAAGGTTGTTTCTGGCTCGTTTGATCCAAACATTGTCCAAAGCTCAAAATGTATTGTAATAGATGTAAGAATTCTCAAAATGTACAATATGTTTTGATCCAACACAATATTCTGATTCAATCCATATATGTTAGGGGTTTTTTTTTCACCAAAATAAATAGACTGCCTTCTCTCCAGCTCACCGCACACAAAGGGGGGGGGGGGGGGGGGGGGGGGGGGGGGGCATCTGTATTAACGGGTCAGTCTATAAGCACTCTAATAGCACCATAAATTACATTTAAATAACCACAAAAA